TCGTACATTCGGAGAGGCGTGATGTGCTCCAATGGCAGTCCATGAGACGTTCAAATATTCGCGCGTGGGAAACTAATTCAAACGGCAGCCGGTGGCGAGATTTAACTACGTTGGCACCCCTTCCTCTATGTACCGTCCCTCCCTTTATGCGCATGTCTATTTCTCTCGTCATTAAATTGCTTGTAAGCCTTCTTGCTTAAATACGTGCATCCATATCATGGTTTCCTTGTTGTTTATTTTCATCGTTTCTGTTTATTCGCTAACTTGAGCCAAATGAATTTTGTTTTAAGTCCTTGCCACCTGAAGACTGATAGGACAGAGGAGGTGCGGTGAGCCTGTCATAACTCATTGATGAATGTTCGAGATCTTCAAAAAAAGGTAGAACTTCAACATGACCAAATCAAACTTTACGAAAGGAAACTCAGAGGTGAGTTGTGGGGATAGCTTTCGTCGTATTTCGCTCTTCAATTTCTCGTTTTCTCAAGATAGTTCTATTTTATGAAATACTGGGTGAAATTGTAGTTGGGGTAAAGGAAAATCCTTCCCTCTTCTCTGAACTTGAGAGCTTGAACGCCCAGGAGGGGTGGCCGACTTCACTTATACTTACATTTAGAGAGACGGTTTTGGCAAAGAATGTGAACTCTACCGGAGGCTCAGGAGGGGAGGAGCATGGGCGAGGGTGAGCTTCAATTGAATCACCCGCTCCGGTGCTCCTTCTCTCTTGAGGCTTGGGTAGAAGAATATATTTTTTCAGCTAAGAATTGTTCCTAACACAATTATGGGCTCGCCAAGCCGGCTACCCCTCCTTCTCTGCGCTCCGGCACTCAATGTTTGAAAAAGAGCGCTACACTTTACCCCTATCCTTTCTCCTACCCCCCCCCCCCCCCATACCCTCCACCTCCCTAATCTCCTCCCTTCTCTCACCACCCCCTCCAACTATATAGCATTTTTCAGATGTCGTACGGGCGTACAAAAGTCTTGAAATCGAGAAAACTGCTTTACAAGATGCGTTAGAATCGTTGTTTCCGAAAGAAGCCGCTGACCAGCAACCCTCTCCTTCGGATGCCGATGTATGACAATTTCAGCTGTCATTCCCTTCTTTTCCAGTCACGCAGTAGATTTCCTCGCTTATTCAACTATTTCTATTAGTCAGCAATCGAAAGTGTCAAGGCTGCCATAGCTACTCTCACTCGAGAATACTCGAAAAAAGAGGCGGCGTTTCAGAATGATAAGAAGGCGCTGTTGGTGAGTGAAACGCAACTCCTATCATTCACATTATGCTTTTCTATTATATTAATAACAGATCAATGTCATATTAAGGACGAGAATGCATCTCTCAGAGACCAACTCAAAAAAGCATCCGAAAAGTGGGCCATTGTAGAGAAGAACTTTAAGGTATTTTCTTTTTAGCGAGATTCATTTGGAGTTACTTGGTTTATACTAATTGGTAGCGTTTATCAACCTTATGCTTCATAGTTTTTTACCCTCATATACCGCATCACGGAGTTTTTCAGCCTTTTCCTTAAGATTTTCACAGAAAAGAAAAAAAAAACCTCTAGCTTCCCGACCATATACACCCGTGTCCTTGCCCAAGGCCCCTTTTCGTCGCCGAGAGTTTGGGGTTATGTCGCGCCGGATTTCTTTAGAAGTCGAGTGCCGTACTGAATTTTCGTTTCTGTGCGATTTTAGGCCAGGTAACGCTTCTTGTTAAGTTGTCGCATTACTTTTTACTCCGTAGACGTACTCTCAAACTTTTGAATTTATCTTTTTAGTGAATTCCCTCTTACTAGTGATTGCCTCAGGATTGGCTTAACCGGCATTTCTTTTTGTGAAATGTTTTCAGAACTTGAAAGCCACGGCGCAACAAGCTAATGTGGACCGGGAAAGAGAGCTCGTTGAGCATGGCAAAGTTTTAGCTGAAATGCAGACGGAATACGCCAAGGAGCATCAGTCGCTTGAAGCCACAACTGAAGAAGTACTACTTATCATCTTTTGGGAGCCTCGTTTGGACTTGCTGTTGTGATGTTCGTTCTTACTTTAGACGGCGGCACTTACTAAGATAATTAGCCAAAAGGACGAAATGATTAATCATCTGAAAGAACGAGAAGCCCAGCTGATTTGTCAAGTTTCAACACTGAGTAAAGAAGTCAAGGAGCTCACAGAGAAGGCCTACCATGTTCCTTCTGTTCAGATTTTGAAAGATGAATTGGCTAATTTGAAGGTAAGTGTTTCGGGTGTTTCTCGTATCGCTTTTTATTTGAGTAGTATCTTTTTAATCATGAATGGGTTAACGTAACCTGAGGCAAAACATAGTTCTACCGCAAGCCTCGGTGTCCTGAGCAAGGCAAACCGTTTCAGCTCCGCCCCTTTTTGGGTATTAAGTAATTACAGTATTTGCTTTGATTGCGGTGTAGTTTTCATTGCTTTTCACCAGAATCATAATGTTCCTTTTTGATTCAGTTTTCCTCAACTACTCCACTTCTTAAACGCTTATTCTGCTACCTAGGTAATCTTACCTAATTTGATGGTTCCTTTACCCTCTATTCGACCAATGAAATATGTGGAATATTTAATGACCTCTGAGAATGACTGACAAACGGTGTTACTGGCCACGTGTTGATAACACTAGACCGTTGGATACCGCTCACGCAACCCTGGACGCAATCTGTCCCGTTTCTCAACGCGTGGCCGGTAGCGCAGTTGAACGGCGAAATAATGCACGTCGATGAACTCTCTGAAAGCACCCAATCGATAGGCTGGATGCTTTGAACGGAATGCGCGGCACAGAAACTGCGCTGTATGGGAGGCCAAAAAAATTGAAGCCTATACGCTGCACTGGCAAAATGACCTCGAAGGGCCGCGCCAAACGACAGCAACACTTTACAGCCATATGCTTGAGAATCGAAGTCCAAGCTACCTAGAGGCATGGTTGTATTGGCAGGTTCCTCTCCTCTCAACATGGCACCGCGGGTTTTTGGAAGTTCCAATCCATTTCTCCGTTGCAATTATGACACTCTTAAGAACCACTCAGAAAAACCCCACAAATGTAAGAGAGGCTAGCTGAAAGGCGGATGGAGGTTGAAGATGGAGCTTGAAGCAAGTGCAACCAAATCTGTTTGGATCCCGCTTATATATAATGGAAGATTTCTCGTTTGAATTTGGTAGCAACATTACATGCATTAATGGAAGATTGTTTTACGTTTAGGGTTCCTCTATAAGAGGTGTTTTTGCAAAGTTGATTACGTTGATTTTTTGAGAAAGTTCTTGATGTTTAGGTTGATCATGCTCGCGAGCTAGTCGAGGCTGTTGTGAAAGCGAAGCATGCCGCGCAAGTAGAGGAGCAGAACCGTGCTTCGGCGAAAATCGCCGAATTAGAGGAGAAAACTATGATTCTGTTGGAAACGATCGCACAAAGCGAGGAATCGCGAAAGAGCGCCTCCGACGCTTTCCTGCAATCTGAGAGGGAGAAAGCTGTGCTCGTTGAGGTGAGAATCGCGAATATCCATAGCTTGTCTGCTTCTCATTTTATTTTTTTACTGCCTTTTTTTTCTCTTGATAGTTTATTTCTGATGTGACTTGTGACCTTTATCCAAAGAAATTTCATTTGCTGGAACATAAATCGATTATGACTGGTTATCGCGCAAGTGCTGAGTAGGGAAACTCTAATAAATGCGGATCCAACAGTCTTGAATAGGAGGCTTGTCACGATTTTTTCTCTATTTGCACATTCTTTTTATTACATGCAAGTACAAATGCGACAATAAGTGAATAAAAACTAACAAGCAGTGAAACCAGAACCAACACAAAAAGGTGAACATGACACTCGTGAGAAGTTGAGATTTATCAGGTGTAGTGATGAAAATACCGAGCTCACAATCTCTTGAAGCTTGCAAGAGGTTCTGGGACGCATGTTCATTTTGCTTGTTTGTAAAGTAGTCCAGTGCAAAATGTTGTAAAAATCCTCGCCTTTTTTTTGAAGCGCATTATCCTTAATTGACGAATTAAATGGAAAAAATCGTTAGGGGTACTATTCACTACACCATTTGGCTAAATAATTCGTGGTTTATCGTCTCGTTCCAAGTAATTCCGTCCTTCATGCTATTGTACTTATAATTCAATAACCCCACAAACTCCGTGAAATTATACCTCACACCAGAGTCGCTTCCTATCTATTTTTTACCGAAATGATTTCAGCAACAAGTTCATTGTGCAATCAAGAATTTTTCTTAGGAGTTGTGTCAGCTGCGCAGACGACATAATGGCCTTGATAACAGTGAACCTACAATTGACGACGTGGTAACTCGTTTGCAATTACTAGTTACAGAAATACGCGAAAAAAACCCTGGGGTTGACATTTTTGGTGAGATTTTATGGCTACAGATCTTCTAATTGGTGAGCGTTCATTGGTTTTTGTTGCAGCTCTGTTAGGTCCCGATGAAGAGAAAATTAGGCTGAAGGATGAATACCGTGACTTGAAAGAGGAGTGCGATCATTGTAAGAGTCGCTTGGAAATCCTGACAGCCAGTAACGCGGTTAGTTGATGCTTTCCTCTTTCTGGTTTCACAGTAGCTTGAGTCGGATCAGCTTTCCTCTTTACATACTGATATTGCTTTTCTTAGCTTTTCTCTTTTACATATTAATATTGCTTTCATACCACCATTCATTGACCTACGTCAACGTGATGCTGATTCCTGTTTTAGCATGTCGCAGAGAGTATGAATGGCTCGAGAGAGGATACGCTGGGAGCTGTAGCCAAAGAGTTCCAAACAAAAATCCAGAACCTGATAAGTGAGCACGCCAAGGACAGAGCTCTTTACGAAAAGGTAAAACATGACATTACTCTTTCCCTATACGCGAAATTCAGTTTTTTTAACAAATTAGCTTGGTCCTTGATGCCTTTTTCCTTTTACCTCCTAATATTTCTACCGTAGGAATAGAAAGATTGGGAGTTCTTGTGTTGTTCAGTTCCGTTTTTCGAAGTGCGCACTCTCAACCGCTCTTTTGAATGGTATATGGCCGATACAAAGGCTTGCGGTGGCCGCGATTAAGGGCCTTCATCGTACATCGTCTTTGCCTGATTTTAGATATGGCAGAAAACTGCAAAGTTAGAGGCGAATCACACTAGCAAAGCAAAGTTTTTACAAGTTCGCTCGAAGGTAAAGAAAAAGGAAGAAATAACACGCACCAAGGAATATAGCAGAATGAAGCACAAGCAGCGCATCGAGTAAGGAATACAGAAACGAAAAAGATACAGTAGAATCATGCCGAAGTTATCATCCCATATTGTTCGGGCTGTATAAAGAACTCTAGAGTGCTAGGCAACTTTTTCGCGGCTGCTGCGAAGCTACACGATTCTACACTACTTGAAACTGATTCAACTGCCCGTCTCCCGGAGGTTACGGTAGCGCGTGTCGATATGAGCAAAAGAGGTGTTTTAAGTCAGCAGTTTTCTCTTTGTTTTTATCCACTCGCTGGCAAATGTCACGGAAGCATTTACTTATGGGAACATTGGTGTAATCACTTTCAATATGGTTTTACAGTCAACGCGTGATCTCCATGCGCGAATATCGGAGTTGGAGCAACGTGAGGGGCGTATTGTGTCAGAGATGAGAAGAGAGATGAACACCAGGAGTTAGTGCATTTGCATTGAGTAATAACTCTTATGTGCACTCTGTAGACATGGTTGATATGTGTAAATTGCCAAAATGCAGTTTCTGAAATGGAAGCCGAAATGCAAAAGCAGCGTAGCAGAGCAATCGATGTTGTAGCAGAGAAGGAAAGAGAGATTGATGAGGCGAGGTAATTGCTATCCCCAGTATTATCCTTTAATGATGTGATTAGAGTTTCTAAATTTGTTTTTATTTGCCTCCTTTCTCATGTAGTTCATATTCAGATCTGTTCTGGCATCCTTCCATAAGGAGCAAATGAGTGCGCCTGCTGATCCGTCTCAAGCAGGCAAGGTGACACTATCGAAAAGAAGATCTTTCGAACACAAAATCTATGCCAACAGGACCTGCAGTACGGGTGAGATAGCAATACTTGTACAGCAGTTTTAGGAACTTCTGTCATTGACATTCACAAAAAAGAGGATATGCTCTATCGATTCATGGCCTTGAAGTCAATGCAGGTATCACGGTTTATTCGAGATTTGAGTCGGAGTGGTATTGAAGAATTAGCTTAATAGAGGAAGAGGAAAAAAGAACTCTCTGATAATCTTTAGATGGAAGTAGCGTAAGCATTCCCGGAGCGAACGAGCCGCGTAACATATTCTATGAAGAGGAACTGCTGAAGAAAGAACGTGAGCTTCAAGAAGTCAGGTTTGTGAGAGTTTGTCTCATCTCTCAATGATTTCGGCCTACACGAACTTGGTTTAGCTCGCTATTTCTTAGTTTTTTATGAATTTGGATAGTAATGTTAATGAATATACAGGGAGACATTTCGAGCTTCCATTCGAAAGGTTAATTTTTATTAATTCTTCGGTGCGCTTTGCAAATGCATTAGTCAGCTTCACCTTCGCCTTTTTTGCTCCAGCTCTCCGACTTCGAACTATCATTTTCGTTTGCTGTAGTGTTCTTAAGGTGGAGTCATGCAGTCCAGAGGCTTCCCGTTGTAAAATAGTTGCTAGTTGATAACGAAAATCCTTCAGCTTTCTTGAACCATATTAAGAAATGCATTCAAGAAGTGTTTCGCATCATCTGGATTACCGACTCAGAGAAGTTGAACAAGCAGCTCTGGTAAAGGAGCTTGAACACCAGAAGAAGACTCAAGCCATGAGCGAGGAAATTACAAAGCTACAAAGTAAGCCGCTCTTAAGATCTCTTCTAGCTTTGCTTGGTAACTTTACTTTGTGCATAATGCTACAAGGACAAAGGCTTCAATCTTATTTGCTTCGTTGAATTATTGGGTTTAGGTAGGCTTTCACTGCTAGCTACTGGAGGCGAGATGGAATATTTACGTAATATTTTCGTTCAATTCATTCGATCGAACAACTCTTCTACTAAAAAGAACATTCTGAAAGCTATGGGAATGGCTCTGAGATTGAGTACCAACGAAATGATGGTCATTGACAACAAATAAAGTTACCTGCTCTGAACTTCTCTTGTACTTGTTACTGTATTATACTTACTACTCGCTGTGATTCTAAATCTAATCCTCCTCTTCCATCTTGAAATGGTTATAAACATTTCTATTGAATTTGTGTCATCGCTGTTTGAATTCTTTACAGTTTTTCAACCATCACTTTGCTATATTTTAAAATGGTGCCATCTTTGAGCTTCATCTAGACTTGTTGTCGTTGTCCTTGATTTGTACTTTCGAAGAGTCAAGAGTTAAGAGCTTCGAAGAAAAGTACTAACCACCACATCACTTTCTATAATATTTATTATCTTATGTAGCTGGAATGATCGCCTTTTTTCTATTTTACGAAGCATTGTCAAACTCAACCAGCATTTGTTTCGCCTGCTCAATGTTCGGTGTTGTGAGCATGATGTCGTCTGCAAAGCAGAGATGATGTAGATAGCGGCCGTCGACTTTCACTCCCAAGTCTTCCCCTTTCTAAATGACACATGATATTCTCAAGAGCAGCGCTAAAAATTTTGGGCGAAATGGTATCGCCCTGCTGGACACCTCTCTTCACGTTGATAATGACTTCCTTATAGAATGGTGAAAACCTGGTCGTGAAATTGTCGTAGAGCTCACGAAACACCCTTATATATTGAGTAGAAGCGCCCTTGTTGCACAGAGCTTCAATTACCGCTTCTGTCTCGACGGTGTCGAAGGCTTTCTTCAAATCGATGAACGTAAGACATAGCGGCATTTTGTACTCTCGAGATACTTAATTGGTCTTGTAGGAGTGTGGATATGATCGATCGTACCGAACCCTCTCCGAAACCCTACTTGCTTGCAATGGCTGTCCTTCATCTAGTATTCTGCCACTCCTGTTCAGCATGACGTTAGTGAAAAGCTTGTAGGTTACCGAAGCAGGCAGATTGGGCGATCACTGTCAACGTCGTCTGGATCTCCTGTTTGTACAGTAACACAGTTTTAAACGACGTGGGCACTTTGAATTCCGACAGGTACCGCGTGAAGAACCTAGCCAGAGCTCTGGTGATAACTTATTGAAGACTCCTCACATATTCTGGTTTGATCCTATCGGGACCGGGCGCGTTATACGATTCTCATTTAAAGACATATCCGTTGAGGAAAGAATCTACATTCATTAATTTATTCAATAATGGTATTATCACGACTAGACAACATTTGTGAGCACCATTCAAGGTTTTGGCTGCCTATCAGTTAAACCTCGGTCATTTTGGGTCGTTATGAACAGCGACAGGTCGAGAGCTCTAATCAAAGGCATAAGCAGTGATACAATTTGAATATGTTTACAAGCTCTATTAGTCCTCTGTCAAATTTTGTGTTTCGAAAAATATTTTTATTCCAAATAAGGAGCGGCCAGTTTGCCGATTACTACAACTATGTCGTCATAGGAGGGAGGTAGGATATCCGCCTGGGACAACGAGGCCTTCTATCCTGGTTTGGTTGATTAGTTAAAAGTTGCCTAACGTGGGTCACCGGTCTTTATATCGTTTCTATTTGGACTGTCTTCGAGTTTTACCTTAACCACATTTGATCAGTCTACAGTGACAATTCATCTCCTATTCGTTTTACACGATATCTTGTTTTAACGCATAGCCACCTAACATTTTTTTCAGTTCTGTGTATGCGTCTTCTAGAGACGCTCTTTGCGTGATCGAAATGACCGAGCGGGTGGAAAGCTTTCAGGCTGTTCTCAACTATAGTGTGAGTCAGTAGAACGACAGAACAAGTTTTAAGATTAATCGTCTATAGGAAAGTGGAAATCGGTGTTCGGTAGCGAGAAGGATATTTTAGTTGAGTCATAAGTCCTCGGACAAATTGAAAATGATGACATTTACCTTACAATTTCTCAACGACAATTGCAAATCATTTGAATCATGCCTCATTTGCTTCGATGGTCTTCAGCCAAATTTTGGGCAGATCATAGATGCCTATGCTCAAGAACGCTGGGGGCTGTCCCTTGAAGAACTGCTCGAGTGTCATTTTGATGGTTTGAAAGTCCTGACCATCTAGATGACGTCGGAGGTGTGAAAAAGGTGGTAATCCGAGAGAGCCAAGTCTGGGGAGTATGGTGGGTGTGGTGAGGTTGTTCAGTCAAATTCATTACTTTAGTTTTGTTCGTTCTTGCAATGTGCGGCCGAGCGTTGTCGTGCTGGAAGTAAACTTCTTGTTGCTAGCTTCGAGATGCGCCTTCAAATCCCTCAGTTGCTTAATGTAGACGTCTGCGGTCCCTGTACATCCTTCGCCTAGCAGCTTCCAGTATTCGGCACCGTGAACGCTCCACCAGGTGCAGAGCATAAACTTCTTGGCGTGTACGTTGGGTTTAGAGAAGTCTTTTGCATCCGCACCTCTGCCTACCCATTGAGCACACCGGTGTACGTTAGAGTAGAGAATCATTTTCTCATCCCTGGTGAATAGGTGCTTGAGCCACGTGTGAGTGCGTCTGAACGTGAGGAGAGAAATGCCATGTCGGCGCGGCGTCCCTGTCATACTGCTTCAAAGCCTGAGACACCCGTCGACCAGCTTTCGCACCTTGCAACAACTGTGGACTGACCAACCCCAAGAGTGACTGTTAGTTCACGAGTAGTTTGATACGGATCGGCTCCCACCTGGCTTCCCAGCACGCCCAAATCCAACTCTACTTGTCGTCCCGGACGATCTTCATCTTCGATGGAATAGTCGCCCGACGCGAACTTCGAGTGCCACTTGTAAATTGTGCTTCTAGCAGTACTCCTTGTAAACATCCTTTATACGTCTGCTGCGGGATCTTGGCCAGATAAAAAACGAAATAGGATAGTGTTGCGGAGGTGGAGTTGCGACGGCTTGAAATCACGGGGCATTGTTGCAGGAAGGGAAACGGTTAGGTGTGTTCGTTAGCATGTATTTGAAAGAGCTTTCTATTTTCTATCCAACGATGCTTTGCGCCCTCACTTTCGTCACCTCTTTCCCGAGTTATGATCTCTAGAAGTCATCAATATCCCTTTGTCCGAGTACATATGACTCAACGTACTAGGTCGATAAGTGCCACTAGATCGTTTTATGTCCATTCAGCATTCCATGCAATCCGTGTGAGTACTCTATTTCAATGGTTGCCATTGTATCTCTTGACCTGTCCAGCACATTTGAGCCCAGACCCCTTGACCTAAATATGCTGCATATCATCATAGATACTCTGCAATTAACATAGTTTATAACTCCGGTGTTACTTCGTAACCGAGCATTATTCCTAATGGATCGGAGTAGCATTTAATGCATGTCACCCTACCTATAAGATGTTTTGGTCCTTGATACTCATGTCAATGGTCTCCCTTTTTAGTGCACATATTTGTTTTCGAATTTCTCAAGGCGAGGGTTCCGAAATCGGCAAGAAATTCGTTAAACACAACAATGTTTCCTTTATGCTTTCCCTGATGGATCTCTTGGGACGAGTGAGCGCTCCCGTGAATATTGCGGGAGAACTATGGCAGCAGTGACATCGCGTTTTCCTTATTCTCCATTGTTTGCTACAGGCATTTTCACAAACGTAGTGGAATGTATGTGAAGTCAGGAATGCTCTAAACAGTAGAGCTGATCAAAATGATCCAGTAATTTCTTTAAATTATTTCTATAAATTTTTTATAACTTTCGATTACCTTTTGAATTATGTACCATGTGGAAGACTCGGGGCAGCTTCCTTCATGCGTTTACAACATGGACACCATGATCAAAAGAATAAGTTTTTGGGCGTTTACCAACCGTTCTGTCCACGCCTTCAACTTCATTTCAGTTTCGTAGCCGTTGAATACGTAAAGTCAAAATTTAAGTCTCAAGAGAGTGTGCTGCTAAACCCGGCTGAAGCGTAGCTTTCACAAGTGCCGCAAGTGTCCTTGTTTTCTCAGGTGCAGCATTTCCTCATCGTTTTAAGCGCATAGGTATTTCATTATTTTCATCAGTAGACTGGGTTGTGTTTTGTTTCTTTCTCATTAACAACGACAACTGTGTTGTCGGAGTGATGGGAAGTGATGAATGAGGACCGCTGTGGGACGTGCGACTGGCCATGGTTCTATAGAACAACATAGTCTTGATCACATGAATTCTGAAAACTACAATGCTGATGGGAAAACACTTGATTCCTCCCTCCACCCACTCTCCTTCTTCTCTTCTCGCCTTCTTTTAATAAGAAAAGATCACTTTAATCAAGATGTTTGGGAAACTCAGCAGGGTTGCTTTGTTACAGCTGCAGGTTGTTGAGCGGATTTCTATTGAATTCCCTTTGAGATCACGTCATATTGGCGATTTGGAGGCTTTCAATTTCTCTGTCCGACTATTTGAAAGGCCTCAGCTATCTCTTTGACAGCATTCAAGATTACTTGAATAGCGGTGAAATATGGAGCCTTTAAAAACTAACGTCTTGCTAGGCCATATTCCTGTCTCCTTCCTTCAAAGTCAACCAATAACGGTGAGAAGAGAATAAAAGAATTGGTTACAGTAGACAGAACCCATAAGGAAAAGCGGAAACCCTACTCTTCTGTTCATTCCAATCAATAATTCATGAGCCCTATCCGCTATTCAATGAATCTAATGAACAGCAATACTACATTAGCATGTCCTACATCTGAAGCTTCGTGTTGTTGCTCCAGCGGTTTGTTGCAATTGAGGCTGGTAAGCTCCCCTCCCCATCCCCCCTGCCCCCCCACTGCCCCACGGCTCAATAAGAATATCTATAAGGACATATAAAATCACCGTGTTGTTGCGTTATGTCAGCCCTTTACAAAATAAAACGACTCAAATGTCGGTCTACTCTTTGTTCCCATTCATAATCCGTAGCTTCTACTTCCCTTCCGTCCTTCTTTTCTGACTCCTCCACCGCGAAAATTCTGTTCCCTTGTACAGAAGTGACATACAAGTAGGGCCGAAGAATGAAAAATAGGAATTTTCTTCGTTCTTGTTGCCCCTCGACGTTGCACTGCATGATT